GCTCACCGGCATCGTGGGCTGGGCCTGTGACCCCGTGTAAAGCCCAGCAAAGGGACTCTAACCTCTGACACTCAGTTGGAGCTGCATACTGATGTCTCCAGAACACTTGCTGCAGATTAGTGACACAAATAGGTACAGAGTCATCCTACCCCAGTCATGATTAAGATCGTATTGATGGTGTCCTCTTAGACAACCTCTAAATGCAAGGCAGTGTAAGCCAGCAGAGACAGGATAGACAACGTTATTCTCTGCATGTGGCAGTCTCAGCCCACCGTCTGAGACGGGGCTTAGCTTTACCATTTAGAAACAGATAAATCTTCCTTCCTCTGGCACTATCAAAGCCACAGACCATCCACAGTGCTGGCTCAAAGTCACAGATCATCCACATTGTTGATTTCAGTGAACCTTTCTCTGTGTGTTAGCCGACTGGGAAGGCTGTGCTCCAGGATAAGCTTCAGGGCACCTACGTCCTGTCCTTTATGTATACCCAGAAGACAAAGGGAGCCACCTGCTAACTGGTTGGCTCACAGAAATCCAGCCTTTAAAAGGGAGGGGGAATTTCTCATCTTCTTGACACATCGTGTCTCTCCATTGCTGCTGAATTGTCCACTGGGGCATGTCACAGTCTACATGGTATGTGAAAGACAGAAGGCTCACTTGTCATCTGTCTTTCTCCCTATGGAGAGACAGCCCTAAATTCTGTCATTGGAGCTGTGAGGCACCGTCACAGGGTAATTAATCGGGGGTAGCATATATAGTCTTTCTGAGCCTGGGGCCACTTAACTGAAGCAACCACCCAGGAGGAAAGAGCTTCTAAACGAAATTCAGGCTGGCCTCAACAGCTAGAATAAGACCATCTTACCTGCCTCTGCCAGGAGCAGCCCCTTACTGGGAATCATGCTTTCTGAGGCTGTGCTGCACCCTCAGCCTCTATTCTGCAACCCTGGGGGTGACATGAGTGCACAACCCTGGAAACTCAATGGTGGTTCTACAAGGTTCCACAGAGATCATTTCCGGGTGCAGGATCACTGCCTTATACTTCTTCCGGAAAGCCGCTGAGGTTCTCACTCTCCACAGAGACTTGGGTGATACCAAAGGACACCTAAGATGCACTCTGCATAGAGGGCAAAGACATGAGCACCTAGTGGGTCAGCATCTAGAAATGTTGTTGAGGGAGGGGAACCATGCCACAGTCCTCACTCCTTACCACTGCGACACCCTCTCCTCTGCTCTGCAGACATGGCTTCCAGCCAGAGTTCAGATGAGGAAACAACCCAGGTCAGGGACAAAAGCCCAAAGATTGGGTTGCCACCTATTGCTTACTGGCTGTGCAGCCTTGGATGAATGCTTTCATTTTTTATGAACCTTTGGGCCCTCGCTGAAATAAGTGTAGTAATCCACATCCTCTCGTGAGGCAACATCCGGTGAGAGTTAAGGCACTACAGCAGGGCACGCTGTGCAAATAAGAATGGGGGTAACCGTGTGCTTGACTTCTAGATCCAGCTTTGTCAGGAGTAAGTCTCAAGCTGAATTTAGGATGTGGAAAGTCATCAGAGACCCATGCACTGTACCCATAATTACCATCATTACGCAGGTTCTCTGCCTTGCATCGGTCATTATGTCTGTCAGCTGCTGGCACTGGGGTGAGTCCATCCATTATCTGGTAGACCTTTGATAAATACATAGAGCGTTTTTACCCCTGAGACAGACCTGGCAGGGCAGGAGTGGGAGTGGGGGTGATAGGAGAAGAGACTAGATATTCATCCCTGCCCTGGAGGATGTACAATCTAGAAAAAGAGGGAGAAACACAGCGTTGTTGGACAAAGTCGTTCCCAATCTTTCAGAAATTCCATCTTTTCTTGAGGTTCAGTGTTAGGGAAGCTCACTTTTGACTCCTCAATGCTCTAGAGCTTATTGTTAGTTTTCTTCACCACAGAGACAAGGCGTGTCTCTGATCACATTGGGGACCGCCTCCTTTCTGTGGAGTCTCTCGGCAGCTCCTCCTCTTTGTATCTGGACTGGAGATAGTCCATCTTCTTTGCACTGCCTATAATGCTGTCAAATAGTCTCTCTGCTTCCTCCTCACCAGGTCCTCATTTGTATATCTCCTGAAATCAGTGTCCTGCAGCTCAGGGTGGAGCTACTGTTCTGATCTCCTTCACTGTGTCCTGGTGGTACTTTTCCATATGAAAGGCATTTGCCTTGAGATAAGCTAAAATCAATGCAAGGTTTATGAACCAGTTTAAGACGATGATAGACTAATTGCCAGGTGAGCTACACAGTCAGACTCCATGCCCTGGGTGCTGAGCCTCTTGGCATTTCTTTCTGAGTTTCATGTAAGTATTTTGATCATATTCAGCCAAAAATCATTGGGTCCCAGAGTCTATATATTTTGAGCCATGTTGCTTTGCAAGTAGTCAATATGTGTGCCTTAATAAGCTCTACCACATTTTCAGCTTTCATATTTATAGTTTATGTTCAGGAAATATTTCTTGGACCAAAGTAAATGCTTACAGTCAAAAGCTGAGTCACTCCATCTTCATCCTAAACACAGGATGCTCACGTGTGTGCTGCCACTCATACACCACCCCATCTATTGCATCTCCCTTTTGCTATGAGCTGTTGAGTGTCTCTAAATCTCACTTTCCCTCCCATTAAACAGGTATTCAGGGAGTGCACACTATGCAAGAGTACTATATAAGTGTTCCTTTGGTTTCTCATGTACTTCATTTATTCATCATTTTCCAACATCCATCTTTGTCTGCCTTTGGACCCAAAGATACAGAGACAAATGAAAAAAAATCTTCTTCTCTTTGTGAACCCAGAGTCAAGCAGACTAATTAAGCCATGCACCCAAGCAACCCAAAAGCCTGCTCAACAGTGTGGACTGGAGTAAAATGAGCGGAGGAATAGATGGGGTCTTAAAGAAAGTTATTGGGAGAAGAGATGCATTCTGGAAGTCAAACAAATCCATAGAAAGCACAGCTCAGTACCCTGTGCCCAGGACACAGTGCCAGACATGCTGAAGGCAGCTCAGATGATTTATCAACAGACTCACACTGAGTAAACTAAAGATATTAGAAGGATAGAGTTTGCAAGATGGACAAGATGGAAAAAAGGAAGAAAAAACGACGTATGGAAAGTATGAAAGGCTGAGGGACTCAGACAACTTAGTCTCATCATGGCATAAATTTGGAATAGGACATGACAAGAAGGATGCTGAAGTGCCTGCACATTCTAGTGAATTGCACTAGGCTAGACCATGGGGAATCCAGAGGTGACTGAATAGAACACAAGACCAAATCTGTTTGGTATGTGACTAGTGCATGTGACTTAGCAAAATACATAGAATGAAGCGAATGCGCTGATTGAGGCTACTCCTGCAGATCCAGGGCAAGGGACAGGATTGGAGGTGGTCATGGGGAAGAACTGCATGCTGGGTAAGTGATTTGGAAGTGGAGGGATCCTTCCAGGACACTAGCTTTACTTGGCTATTTAAGCTATGGATGTGTATTCTACTTTCTAAATTTAATGTGGGTGGTAGTAAGTAATATTATGAACTTATTAAAAAACATAGATGTTTAAAATACATACAGAAATAGTTGGGGGATATAGATCAGTGATAAAACAATAACAAAACTAGCACACATGAAACTCTGGGTTCAATCCCCGGTACTTCAAAATTAAAAAGAAGGAAGGGAGATAAAGCTAGGGAGCACATGCAAGAAAGCAAGAAATACACATCAACTTTACCAGCACAGCCTATACTTCTTGTGATGGTCTGCATGAGAATGACCAGCATTGAACCATACATTAGAATACGAGGTATGGCCTTGTAGGAAGAAGTGTGTCACTACAGGTGGGCTTTGGGATTTCAAGACTCCCAGCATTTCCAGTGTGTTCTCTCTCTGCCTCCTGCTTATAAAAAAAAGATGTAAGCACTCAACTGTCCCAGCTGCCATGCCTTTTCTCAGCTATCATGGGCTCTAACCCTCTGAAACCACAGCTCCATTAAACACTTCCCTTTGCAAATTGCCTTGGTAATGATGTTTTGGAAAGGTAACTAAGGTACACCCACTATGTCTGGGCATTAATTTTGGGTCTAAGCTTTCAGAGAATCAAAGGGACAAAGGTATGGTTTGGATCTATTTAAGTCTTAGCTATTGTAGCATACTTTCTGGTACTAAATTCTAAAAGAAATTTGAACATTGGCTCTTATTCAAGGTGCTAACAACAATACTACCCCTGCTGTTTTGTTCAGGCCCGACTTCAAATATTTGCTAGGTGAGTTCCATCCTGCCTGTCAGGTCTCAAACAACCCTTATACTCATACCTAATGGAAATGTGGCTCTTATTCCACACTGGCTGGCAATTTTCTCTTGATCACATTTTAAGATTAAATCATCAGAATTTTAGGTTAAGTTGCTATGTACAATAATTCAGGAAGACTCTACATACTTTTTCTGGAAAAGTAATACTGAATATATTTCCCACTGTTCATCCAAAAAGTGATGACTGGGGACCCGCTGTGCAAAGAGCAATGTTTAAGGAGGAAATGGCATGGCAGGGAGCCACACAGAGTTCTGGTTGTCACATAGCTGTTCTTTGTAGGAGGACAGATAACATATAAATAAGTAGGTTGTACGGGGTCAGGTGGTAGTCAATACTGGGAAGAAAATCCGGCAGGGTAAAAGGATATGTCGATGGCTTGTCCCAGAAGCTTCCTTTGCATGGCTCAGTCTTCATCCTCACCATGTTTTTTGGTTACATCACCTCTTCCTTAGCAACAGAACATGGGATAAACATGACAAAATCAAATGCCTCTCATCATGTTGACCGTTAAAGACAGCAGGAAAACATCCTGCCACTATTAGACACAGAGGTTCTTGCCAAATTGTTCAGAACTAAAATAGCAGTCCACACTGGCTGGATTGTTTCAATGGTAAACCTAATTTTAACTTCAGCTCCTGATTTCAAGCTCTCTCTGAACTCTATTGCAGGCTGCTGGAGTGGCCACAAGGACTGCTGCCATCTATACAATCCTGGTAAGGCCACACCCCTAGTCCCTGCCAGAACAACAGTCCAGGTAATCGTGTTTGTAGACTGAATTGTGATTTTTCTGAGCCACACTCTCCCAGTTCATGTAATGGAGGCCATATTGGGACAACTGCTTGGATGAGATCATGGTGGTGAGTGAGGTCCTTGAGCTTAGTGCCTTGATGAGAAGACTTATTGGAAAGTTTGCTATGACTCTGTCTCCCTGACACATGAGGACAGAGCAAGATAGCAGCCACTTGGAAGTCACAAGTTCAGTCCTCAGCAGAACTCAATATGGAGTAGAACTCTGCCCATGGAAAGAGGCATAAGAGTAACCATTAGCCAACTGAACCCTAGAGCCAGACTGCCTGTATCTACATACTAGTCTTGAGAATGGCTAGATGGGTGATGTCAGACAGGTTACATGGGCTCTCTGAGATGATATTCCTCATCCTCGTCATTTATATATTTATTCATTTATTACATTTTGAGAGGGTTCTCAGTCTCATGTATTTTAGACTAGCTTTAAATCCTCACTGTGGATTTCAGAATGTTCTTGAATTCCTGGTCCTCCTGTCTTCACCTACCAAGTGCTGGGATCACAGGCTTGTGCTGCCATGTTTAGCTTTGAGATTGCTCATTTTACCTATAAAATGAAGGAATAATAATAAATTACTTCCAGGGTTTTGTGAAGATTTAATTGGTTAAACATATGTAATTCTAAGAACATATATAACACATAACATTAAATGAATGCCCATTATGATTTTTATAACTCCAATTTATACCAAAGGTACTGAGACTTCGAAGTTAAGTGACTTGTTGAAGGGCATCCAGAGTGTGGGTGAGAGTCTGAACCCAACCTGACTCCAAACTGAACTCTTGCTGCTAGGATGGCCTCTGTCACCATTAGTAGAAACTAAAGTGATGGTTCTTAAAAGACGAGGATGTACATATAAATAGGAAAAATGTCGGGAGCATCAATGAGGATCTGGGATCATTCCCAGTACTCATGTGTCAATCAACACCACTTACAAGTGCTGTGATCACAGTACTAACACAGAGCAAAGGGGTCTCCACAACCCGACCATGCATTTGATGCCTTCATTTGTCTAACACCATCTGAAGAATGGTGAGGGATTCCTAGGAACAGATTAAAGGTCCCTATTCTCGGTCTCAGGGAGGAAAGAGAAGAAAACATACAAATGACAAGCTAATAGAGAATAGGAACAACTGCTTGGGACAGAGCCTAGTCACAAGACTGGAATGAGAAGGAAGTATTCATTGATCTAGAGTAGGACAAGACACAGAGGCTTTCATCAAGACCCTGTAAAAAGCGATCAAGAGAAGTAAACCAGGTGTTCTCTAAAGAAAACACCACAGAGTCAAGACAGAGAGAGAAGGTAGAGAGATAGTTGAGCCAGTGAGGTCCTTGTCACCAAGGCTGGACCAGAGTTCAAACCCCAGGATCCACACTGTGGAAGGAGAGAACTGACTACAAGTTGTCCATCTCCATCCTCAAACATAAATCGTGGAACCCATGTGCCTCCCTCATATACAAATAAGTAAATAAATAAATGTAAATTAATTTTTTAAGAACCTAGAGAATAGGGTGTCTTAAATGGTGCTGCTCCCTGCCAAGATGCTGTGCATTCAGTGAAAACTCTGTAGTAAGCTTCTACACAATGGATCTGTTCATTAAAGATTTTTTTAATTCATTGATTCTTTTTCTTTTAGATGTATTTTTATTTTGTGGGAGTATGCACAATAAAGACGTGTATTCATGTGTGTGCATCTCCTTGTGGAGGCCAGGGGCCAACCTCAGATATCGCTCCCAGAAGCCACTCAGCTTGATTTCCTTGTGTTGTTGACGTTTTATTTTGCTTTGGAGACAAGGTCTTACACTGAGGCCTGAGGCCTCACAGAATATCCAGGGCTCCACCTGCCCTTGTTTCTCTGGTGCCAGGGTTACAAATGTGTGCAGCCACACCTGGCTTTCAACAAGGATGCTGGGTATTCAGCCCAGGTCCTCATGCTTACACGGCAAGTATTTTACTACCTGAGTAATCCTCTGGCCCCTCATTGGTGTTTCTTTGGGGGAAAATCTAAACATGACACCATCACACTAGAGGAACCCCTGTGGGCTCAGTAAGTGATTCATGCAGAACTCAGTCAGAAGATGTGAAGTACAACTATTTTAGTGGAATGACTTGAATAGAAAGAACTGTTGACTTGATACAGGTTTTAGCTTAGTGACTGAAAGTGTAGAACTTGATGTCATACAGGCAAAAACTGTAGGGAGGCAGCTGCCTCATGCTGGTATTTCTCTGAGGGACAGAAAGAGGCCACTTCTGTCAGAATTGGAGAAACCGCAGGTTGGTTAAGCTGCTGGTGAAAGAAGCTGGGAAGTATGGCTAGAAGGATGCTGGTGGGAACAGGGACAGGTCAGAAGCTAATTGTTTGGATCCTATCGCAACAGCGGTGATCTCATCTTCTGAGATCTGAGCTCCCTCCAGACACATCATGGCACGAGTCCTGTCTTCCTCTACCAGTCTTGCAGCCCCTCTCGAGAGGCTCTTTTGAAGGTTAGCAATGCCAGTATAAATGCAAAGCAAAGGCGATGGTGAGTGCCAGAAAGCATAATAGAAATATATGACACCACAAAACTGCATGGCCTTGAGACGAGAAAAGGTTGGAAACAGGCCCTGTTGACAGCAGACACAAAAGAGCTCACAGGTGACTCTTGAGAGGAGCCTCCAAAGATGAAGTCTGTTGACCAGGTAGACATGCTCACTAAGGAGTACATTCCACGCAGGAGGAGCAGTCTGAACTGAAACATGGAAGCGGGAAGGACTAGAGTGTGTGTTGAGACTATGGAAATAACTTGACAAGACTGAACAGAAGACATGGAAAGAAATAAGACTCCGAGTCTTAGCAAGGACTAGAACATAACAGTTAAACTGTTGAGCCCTATGCCAGAAGCCACAAAGAGTAAATGGGTAGTGCAAACAAAGTTGTATTTTTGAAAACTAACTTCTGCTCATTTTGGAGAATCCCAGGTGGGAGAGCACAGGAGGCCAGTTAGGAAGTGATGAGACTGTCCCTGCTGGGCAGTGATAACAATCTATTACCAGAAGCAGCAGTGGGGGTAAGTGAGGGGACAGATGAAGAAATTCTAATGGAGTAGAAATGAGAGACATACAGATCAGGTAGGACAAAAGGAACTGTCCACACTGTGTCTGGGGTCACTAGAGGTACCGTTCTCCTGAGAGAAAAACAAAAATGGTAAGAGTGTGACATAGTTTTCAGACCTTGAAAGTCAGAGGAAGAATGTTACCATAAAAGCAACTGGGTGCATGTTGACCTCATCTTGCATGGGGCCCTACCCTCCAGATGACGTCAGTAATTGCTTTCCTCAAGAGGTTGATCATTGTCACAGCATAAGCCTTGCTGCAGCTCCAGGAAAGAGCTCTGGGATCTGTGACTCAAACAAGAGGCAGCCATCCTTTCTAATTATCATCCTCTTCCTTTTGTTCACAGGGGAATGCTGAGGTGCATGATGGGAATATGACAGACAAGATAGACTGGCATGTGGACACCTTTGTCCTGGCACTTATGACTAATTCTTTAATTGATTCCTTTCTGACTTGCATTCTTTTTCTGAGGCCACATCCAGGAAATGTCCTTGAAAAGATTTTGCATTGTGCCTGAAGTGAACTCAGATCTCAGAAGATGGCGTCCCTGCTGTCTATAGGTTCCTGAAGACCCCTGCTGAGTTTAGTCCTGATGACAGCCTGAATTTTCCTTTCTAACAAAATGTGGTCTGCATTGAGAGAACCAGTCACCCGCAGGCATAAAACAGAGAACTAGTGTGACAACAGGCCTGTTCTGTTTCAGAAATTCCAAAGTGCACCTCTTTGTCTTCTTTTTAACTCATGCAAACCATTTTGCTTTCATGGTCCACACACATCTCAAGGTTGTGCACACTCCTAATCAACAATGCGCAGGGCTGTCTCTAAAAGAACACAGCAGACTTCAACGTCAATGCCTTTGGTCCATAAACACCCCCACCCCTTCCCCCCCCACACACACATACACACATGACTGTGATCTTTGAACTTGGAAGGTAGAGGCAGGAGTATTAGAAAGCTCTCCTTGGCTGTGTGGTAAGTTTAAAGCAAACCCAGGCTACATGAAACATAGTCTCAAAATAATTACTGATAAAGACAAATTTGTTATGTTCAGGTACCTTGAGCTTGAACAGAGGCTGGCCCAGAGGATCCCTGGAGTTTTTAATGTTCTGCGTGTCCTGCCTTCAAAGGTTATGCTTCAGCCTTAGGCTGGCTTTCCTCACAGATTCACCATGATTCTAGCAATTCTGGGTCTCACCCCATCATGCAGGAGAGAAGCTTTCTTTTCTGAGCATTTCAGTCCAGGTCACGGAGCTATGGCTGAATCTCCGTCAGTGGCTAGACAGCAGGCTGTGCTAACTGACTTTAACCAACCAGAGCCCTGTCTGGAGCTATGTGCAGCTCATCTTTCACTGATGTTTCCAGAATGAGGCATTAGGTGATGATGAATGTCTGGAGAACAATTTGGGATAGTGTTGAGAAAGGTGAAGGGGAGAGGGCTATTTCTTTAATTAGTGGGAGAGTCTAACAGACCCATTGTGGTCAGTCCCGATGCCTTTTGATCATACCCCATGACCCAAGGCCAGTCTTTCCACATGCTGAGCTTCTCCCAGACGCCTCTTCCTGCTTATGTGGAGCATCGTCCCATCTCTCTCCATCTCTGCCTTCTCTCCATCTTTCCCTTTTTGCTTTCTCATGTCCTGAGATTCTGTCTCAGTTTGAGCCACGCAGACCCTTTCACCCACTTTGGCTGGGTTATTCTCATCTCCTTAATCAAGCCCTCCCAACAAGTTTTCCCTGGCCACCTGATCCCCCCCCGCTGCCCCCGCCGCATTCCCACCACCTGATCATCCCCTTTCCCTGTGACACTCCCACTGCCATGCTTCCATTCTCACTCACCCGTGGAATATAGGGAATAAAGTTCGTGCAGAGCACCAACAAATGGCACCAAGAGTAGGTGTTTCATGTTTTAGGGCTTGAGTGGAAACTGACCTGTATGTGTCCTTCAGGAATGTCTGTGGTGGCGTTCTTTCACTGTCTTTGGTTTGCTTGCTTGTTTGGTTGATTGGTTTTGCTTTGATTTGTTTGTTGGTTTGTGTATTTATTTGTACTAAAATTTAACCAGCAATGGCTCAAAAGCTTTATTCCAACAAAGAAATTAGTTGGAAGCCAGATGCTAGAGTCTTGAGTTTAGGGCCTTGAATCAAAACCACGGACCTTATAATGAAACCCAGTCACATCAGAATCTAACACAATGCCAATTGCAAAATATCTCAGTAAGTGAACTGTCCTTGCAAGATGAGATGCATACCTGACTCTCATGATTTGAAATTTCTTTCTTAGAATCTTGCACTGTTCCAAGATTTGGTAATTAGATGACAAATTTTGATAATTATGGGACAAATTTTCAAGATTGTTCAAAACTTAGCACCACCATCAACAACGTCACCACCACCATCACCACCACCACCATCATCTAGGAAATGCTCCATCCAGATAATCTGCTTTGGGGTCACTTCAGCCAGTATTTTATTTTTCTAAGAACTCTTCCCTGTCATTTCAAGGCAATCTAAAAAAATCCATTTTAGAGACATAGTTAGAAATAGTAGGAATCCAAAAAAAAAAAGCCACCAGAAAGGACAGATTGTTGCTTCTTAAGAAAAAAGAAGCTTTAAAATTTTTTCTAGTCAAAATATTAACCAAGAGAACATTGTCCAGCCCCAAGGAGTTGCAGAAGTCCCTTCCAGGCAGCTTCTGCCAATGTTGATACAAACATTTGGGATCAGTATTGTACAAGAGAAAAACTAGAAAACAAAAAACTTTGTAACTCCATCAAGACACAGTATTGTCAAATGGAGGTTTGGATGTGTGGATGGATGAATGGACAGATGAATGGATGACAGATGGGTAACCAAATAAATAAATGAATTAAAACACCAATGGAAGAATTTAGGTGTGTTTATGGGTGTTTACTATAATTATTTCAATTTGTCTATACTTTTGAAAAATGTTAAATCCAAGATGGGGACTGCAAAGGGATGTTAGACACTTAAGAGACAGACAAGTGGGAGGTAGTCCTCAGGCTCACTCTGTAGACAGTTGGAAGGGAGGTAGTCCTTAGGCTCACCCTGTAGACAGTTGGAGAGAGCACTATGTAACTGGCATGGTAGGGTGGGGCTCGCAGCTCTCACTCACAGAACAGGAGCTGGACAACAGCCAACTCTAGGAGAGAGTGTCAGAGATGGACAACAGACACAGCGAGTGGAAGGTCAGTTCCTCCACCAGGGTTCTTCCCAGTGCAGACAAGTTCCTGTTCTTCTAATTATCCAGCAGGAGGGAAGAAAATGCCTTGAACTGTAAGCACTTTGCCTAGATTCTGTCCTTTGCTTTTTGCAACAAGCCTGGAAATGGGTGTGTGTGTGTGTGTGTGTGTGTGTGTGTGTGTGTGTGTGTGTGTGTGTGTGTACTCGTGTCTATCTGTCTGTCTGTCTGCCTCATGTTTTATCTTTATAGCTTCTTTCCCTTTCCAGGTAGACTTATACTGAATTTTCTAAGAATCCCAATGCTATATCAGTTAGTGTGGATTCAGGATCTAGTACTACTGGTAAAAGGCATGGTCACATGACACTGGGGAGGCCAGCGCACACATTCTCTGATAACTTTAATCTTGAGCAATCATCCTAAGATGGAAAACTGTTGGCACTGAAGACATGGAAGGGTAGAAAAACGTATAGCTTAGTTGCTGCTGCCTTTAGAACTCTCTGTGTTTCTGTCATTTAATTGAGAATATTCTTTCCGTTGCTTGGAAAGAACCCTGACAGGAATGATGGAGTTCCCATAGGAGAATCCCAGGATCAGTGGGACCAAGTGGCTTCACTCATGGAACCCTTTGGTATTTAAACCCAAGCTCTCTGATTCCCAGACTCAGCACCTTCCAAGCATACTACAGCTCACAGATGGGGTTTACACTCTGCTTCAGGTACTTACTACCTGGATGGGTAAGCCACGAGTCAATTTCACATTTCTAAATTTTTCTGTTGTGCTAAATGATGTAACAGCAATCACTGTTTGCAGTGGAGATAAAGTAAACTCATTTATGTACAAAATTGCCATATAATAAAATGTTCAGTGAGTGTCAGCTTCTATAATGAAAATGATGATAGTGATGTTAGGATGACGGTGATGGTGATGATGATGGTAGCAATGATGACAATGATAATGATGATGATGATGACAGCATCAAATTAGTGTTTTCGCAAGAAAAGGGGGGTGCTAAAGAAGAAATCAATAAAGGAACTACTTAGAGAAGTGAGGTGGCTTAAATGTTCTCTTTCATCCTGGGGTCAATGAAGGTTAGAAACCCCAGCAAGCCGCGAATGAGAGCTGAACTACAAGGGATGGGATCACTAGCTATGACTCTAAAACAGTGCCTTTGGTAGCCGGGAAGACGGCTCAGTTGGTAAAGAGGACCAAAGGCTCAGTCCTAGCACCCATGTAGAAAAGTTGAGTGTGCCTGCAATTCCAACTCTGAGGAGGCAGAGACAGGGTGATCTCCATGGCTTTCTGGCCAGCCAGATTAGCTGAGTCAGCAAACTCTGGGTGCAGTAAGAGACCCGGTCTTAAAAAATAAGAGGGAAGGACTGGAGAGAAGGCTTGATAGTTAGGAGCTTTTGTTGTGGATCCTGTAGAGGACAGGCTTCTATAGGCACCCATTCATGAACCATATATACCTCTCCCAACATACACACAGGAGTGCTAATAAAATAAACCTTTAAAATTAAAATAAGATAGAGAGCAATTGATAGAGACATCAACATCTAACATCTTGCCTCCCCACACATAAGCACATACCTAGATGCACATACACATGAGAATGTACACACACACACACACACACACACACACAAAACAGGGGCTATGGAAGACACAGCCAGATGTAGTTCAACAAGAAAAAACTAGGCACAAATATGTCTGGCTCTTCCCACATACACCACTCACTCTAACTCTCCTGTCAGTGTTATCTGTTAGTGTAGCCCAGGCAGATGTGGGCAGCTGTGGAAGCCCTGAGTGAGTGTGTGAAGAACAGATGAAGCTCCAAGGGAATGCGTATGATTGACAAGAATCAATCCCTCAGGCCCATGAGAAATGGAAAAGCATTCTTCAGGTCCACATGCAAATATTAACAGATTATACAGACAGTATTGGCCACAGCTACCTCCTCAGGGATGTTTACAGCCAGAGACTGTTCACCTAGAGAAATGTCCTACAGAGACCAGTAATTCCTCCCTGTGCTGTACTTAATAAGCATAATAAATAAGACTTTCACAGTTAGCACCGATGCATCAGAATAAGCATGGCCCATCCTTTATCAGCCTTACTGTACACGTCTGTCCTTTCTTCACTCCCTTATCCCAGTCAATTTCCCATGACCAAGTCATGCTGGACATAGCAAGCACATGTCAAAGGCAGGGAGGTTTGGTTGATGCAAGTCATGGAGAAGTGTGAAGAATGGTACACACGCACCCTAGAGACACTTTATCTCAGCATCTGTCTTTCAGAGTGAGAAATACGTCTCCAACATTGAAGGCCTATGATATCCTACCAGCCACCACTGCAAGGAAGATAGCATGACTCAACCATAGTCCCACCTGAAGCTAAAACATTAGATACTACCAATGACTTTTAAAACTTTTTACTTTCAGTGGTGGTGCTAGGGTTCAAAACCACAGTCTTGTGTATTTCAAGCATGTACCATGTCACTGAGCTATCTCCAGCCCAACCTTTTATATAAGGTGACAAAGAAAAAAGATAGAAGAAATTAATGATGTATAGCTGCATAGTCCTATACCTGAAACTGATCATACAAGATAAATTGTTAGGCATGATTTCCTTCACCCATCACCAAAGCCCTGCTCCTCAGTCCCTTTGGTGGATTGGGATCCTTAGTTGCATTATTATTATTTTTTGAGACACTGTTGAAGTTCAAAGGCTAAGGCCTTGCCTTTGTGTGTCCAAATGTTCCCGTTTCATGTCTCAAAAGTCTGCTCTCTGTTCCAGTGTCTCCATCTTATTTTTTGAGACATGGCCTCTTACTGAACCCATAACTCTCCATTTCAGCCTCACTGACTGGCCAGCAAGCCCTAGAAATACATAGCAGAACAGACATTAATGTCTTCATTCTTAGACCCCAGACTGGTCCTCACTTCTGTCTAACACATTCAAGATAGTCAGCAACTTCTGAGAGCCTTCATACAGATTTTCTAATTTCCTATTTGTGTCCTGGCTGGACCTCCAAACTTTTAATTTATTTGTTTAGCTATGCATATCATTTATTATTGATAAAAACAGTCAAGTTACACCACATTATTGATAATTACCATTGTCACCATAGCAACTAAGGACCATAACTAATTGATCTTCATCTTGCTTTCTACTTACATGAATTCCAATTTCTGTTACTATTAATAATTTGAGTATAACATCCTAAATTATCTGCATAATATTTTCCTGTATCAAAAAATTCAATGCATTCATTAAATATGGTAGCAATTTTATCAGTCTCCTATTGATGCTGCAATCAATTACTATAAACTCACTGGCTTAAAACAACTCCCATTTATTATCCTATATATAAAAACAAAAGTCCTCACTAGGCAAAGTTAAGGTTTCATCCTTGAGACCCCAGGGGGAAATAAGTTTCCTTGACTTTTCTAATTCCAGACACTGCCTTCCATCCCTGACTCATGGTGCCTTTCTGCTTTCAAAGTTAGGATGGCTGTCAATCTTTCTCATAATGTATCACTGATGCTATCTCTTCTAGATGCCCCCTTCACTTTTAAGAACACTTTTGATTCTATGGGGCCTCTCTGAACATCCAGAAGAATCTATCTGTAACTCAGTTGATATCA